CTGTGGTTTGATTATAAGAGCACTAACATTATACCCAGAACTGGGAGAAAGTATCATACTGGAGAAACCCACAGACATTACCTGCTGCTTGGGTTAGAGAATTATTTTTGTGCATTTTCAGCATCTCTTTGAAGGGGAAGGTCAAATAGGAAGTCTTGGAATTGGTGAATCCAACCCCCATGTGGTCCCAAATCTCTAGTAAATGTAGACAAAGTTCTTGTTACGTGACTGTTTTGGCCACGGCAAAGAATGGTTTTTGTCCTCAGAGTTCTCCATGGCTACATGGGGAAAGAGTCAAAATGTTAAGGATCTCTTCTTGTGCATTGGTCTTAGGTTAACTCTAGTTTTCAAGATTCTTTGCTTAACCCGAGAATATAAAGTTCAATTTGAGAATAAAACTTTGTTTACCAAAGAGTATAATTCTGATGGATTTTGGCTTTAGTTGATCCCTGGAGATCTCTTTTAAATATTTCTTACCAAATTCCATTTTATCTTGTAATAGAATGTGCTCAGTACAGAAGTTAGATGGTCACATAGCTGAGGAAAAGGTTAAGGATTAACTATAACTACAAGTAGGCTTGAGGTCCACTAGAACTAAAGACTAGAAAATACCAGGGGTTTAAGTGGGAATGGACAAGTTGTTGTTTTTCTATATTTTATTTAGTATGTTAAAGATATATGTGACTTAGAAATTAAATCCAGTAGCATCTTGACAAGAACTGATGGAAAGATGCATTAGGAATAGGAATTTATACTTTCCCAGAATAGGCAGAGAATGCAATGAAATCTCCAAAGCAAAATTTCTCTGGGTCACAGTACTGTGATGTCTGTAAGGAAATGCTATTTTTCTGAATAAAGTAAAACCCCTAACTTCCAAGGTTTGCACAAAAAAGAAACTCCAGTGCATATGGGTAGCTGGACCTCATGGCCCTGACCAGTCTGCCTGGATTTCACCTTCTCTGCCAAGGAGGAAGCTTGGAGGGGTGGCGGGTACTTTAAATTTGAAACCCAAATATGGGCAAAAGATTCTTCTCTTGCTTCCTGAGACAGGTCTCGGGCATTTTTTAAGGACTAGGGAGTCAAAGCAGGAAATACCTTAGAGCCAGGAAATCTGGATTCTGAATGTAGCTTGCTTTCTATGGCCCATAGTGCCTATACTGTGGTGCCCTAGGAGGAAGGACACGACCCTGCCTGTGTTCTTGAAGTCTGGTCCTTGGCCTGCCTCATGAATGCACCATTTTAACACCCACCCAGGAATACTCTCCCACACAACCAGAATTCTACAAGTCCAAACCAAGAAATTCTGCATCCAACAATGTACTCTTTGAATTTCTATTTAATAATATCCTACTCTGCCAAGCACTGCAGTAGGTACTTTAAATACTTATCTCATTAAAATACTCTGTAACGTTTGTATTATTGACCTCGCTTTGTAGAGGATGAAACTAACGTTCAAAAAGGTTTAAAAAAAATTTTTTTTTCCTTAAGTGATATATCTAATTTAGTGATGAGGCTGGGCTAAAAACTTGGTTCTGTTGGACTCCAGAGCCCACGTTGTTTCCAACTCTATAGTACCTTTCAGTGTTGGAGTACTGTCCTTGGAGGGTTTAGGTTTTATTTTATTAAAGAAGACAGAATCTCTTTACCCACAATCTTAAAGTTTCTAGAAATTCCTGTATTGGGATATCCTGTTCTGAACAGTGTTCAGGATCTAGTCTCTGTCAGCCTCTTGAATACAGCTAACATAGGGAAGGGAGGAGAATATTGGAAGCAAACTGTTACACGGAGGCTCATGTGAACAGCGTTCATCCTCATCAGAAATGGCCAAACTGTTGCATATCTGCCTTCCTCAGCATGGTTTAAGTTTTAATTATCTTCCAGCTATCCAAGCTGCTGTTGAGGACCTCAGAGAGAACAAAGGATATCTGTTATATTTTTCAGCAGTACTCCTCTACACACTGATGAAGTCACTAGCTGCCACTGCCCTTATTATCAGGTTAAATGAGAATCTGTGCATTGGAGAGACGGTGCTGAAAAGAGGAAAAAAAAAAATCTTAAGCTTTACCTGTTATTCAAAATCTCTGTGACAGAGAAAATGTGGTATCCGCTTCTCCCATTTAGGTGTTATGACCCAGAAGCAAGTTTTACTTTGTTTTTCAAAAAAAGTAAAAAGAAAGAGAGGACTCTCTCCTATCCCTACCCCTTGGATTTTCAACAACTCAGGTACTAATAACTTCTGTTCTACCTTTGGGATGCTCCATCGTGAGCCCCATTAAGGAACTGTGCTCATGATCAATGATGGTACCTGTGCTGCTTCCCTCCCTCTTCCAGGCACTGCTCATGGATCAGGGCACTCCTTCCCTTGTGCTGGACGGGGCCTCTGAAGTCTTGAGGGAGAGCACCACGCTGCCACTACCAGTCATTGAAGTTGGACCATTAGTTGAAGCCTAGTTGCCTAGATCTTTAGTACAGGAAAGTCCCGGATATTTACAACTTCTTGCTTGAGAAAAAGGAGTATGGCTTCTTTCTTTTAATGTTACCATTTAAAAAAAATACGTGTTTGAGTAAGGACTTTATGTTATTTTTGTAAATTATCCTATAATTTTATAGAGACTAAGAAAGTATTGTAGAACTAGAATAGTTAAACTTGTTAAGAGCATTACACATAACAGGCTAATCAAGAAGTATGATGTACAGTGGTGAATTGCTAATTTGACCTCAAGATTATGCAGCAGAAATAACATTATCTCCACTTATATAGAGCCTTTATCTGGAGGCATCTCTGAGTGCTTTTCCAACCATATATATTATTTTGTTTGTTATCTCAAACACTATCATTAAGACTATAAAATGTATTCCAGTAGAACTTATTATTTTCGGTTGCTTATAACTGGGGGGAAAGGGTAGGGCAGGTTGCATATTTTCTCCCATTCCTGATATTTGCACCAGGGTAAAATTTGGGAAAATGACCATTGTCTACATTTGGAAAGCCTGCTTCCATATAATGTTGTAAAAAGAAAGAAGGGGAAGGAGGGAACATTATTGCATCCCCTTAGGTCAGCCTGGACTATATTAACTTTAAGAACTGCCAACAGGGAAAGGCCCATTAGTCACTTCCTGGCTCTTCTACTGTGCACAATAGGAGAGCTGTCTTTCCTTTAGTAGAAACTTGACCTAGGGAATAGGAAAATGATCTGATCAAGTTCGACCTAACCACATTCCCTCCAAGGTTGCAGACAGCAGCACTCACGCTGTCATAGCCATGTGCAGTTGAAAATGCTATGCTGGTTGAGTTCCTGTGGGTTTAAGGAAATGGACAAAATTAGATTCAAGCCCAGGTGCCAGGTTTAACACACCCCTTCCCTTCCAGAAAGCACCAGCAAGATTATCACCACTAAAAGTAAAGGACAACACAATCTGTACTATCTAGACTATTAAAAACTTATTTTAAATGAACTCACCCACCCACTTAAACCCACTAAAAAAAATCAGCACTGTCTGTTTGCCGTAAGACCTCCAGAGAGGAGATCAGGGCCAACTTCCTGCTTAACCAGAGGGCTGCAGTATGTGAGGCAGTTGCCCTGGCTCTCAACACAGGAAGAGTGGTGTCTCCCTGCAGTGAGTATGAGCACACTGAACAGTCCAGGAGATAGCATTAATATTGGTTGTGAAGATGAATGATCAGCTCATGTCAAGGAGCAGATGGCTAAATGAGGTGCACAGGGAATGCCATCAGATTAAGGCTTGAAGAAACAGGAGAGAAAATAGCTCATGATATAAAAACTCCAAATATCGTCTCCTTAATGCAAATTTTTAAAATCAGAGTTTACATTATACAGTTAACTAGTGATGAGAAATGTAAGGAAATTACCGAATTAGTGGGCAGTGATTAACTCAGAAGTAAAATTATATCATCTAAATTGAAAAGTTATTTTATACAGCAGAGAGAAGATATTGCTAAAACCTTGCTCAGTCTGTCATATCCTAATTGAAATCTGTTCGGTTAATATGCCCTATCCTTCAGAGTGCATAGTTCATAATTTGGGAGGGCAGTATCAGTTAATCTAGTTATTTTTCCTGGTTCTTCCTTTGAATTCCAGTAAGACAGTGTATGGCATGTTCCCCATGGAATTGTGTGACACTCAGAAGAGTGGGTTTGAGTGTTCATTAACCTGTGAACTGTCAGGTCCCTTTGGAGAGTAGAAGGAGCAAGCCAATGCAAGGTTAATTCTTGTTTGTCGGAGATGAACTCTCCAGGGAGATAAAGAAGGTGAACAGGCCAAGATGCTCAAGACCTGCCTGGTGAAACTCTGCATGGTGTGCAGATGCCAGCTCTGTGTGGCCAGAAGGGAGGCTGCAGAGCAGTCTGGGCCATCTCTGCAGATCATTTCCTCTGGTCAGGAGAAAGTTTCCCAGTCAAGTGGGGGGCTGGCGTAAGTATAGAGGGTTAACTTCGTAACAAGGATTTAGAAGCAATATTAAAAGAAACTGCGAATGGTTTTCAATAGTTTCTGTGGATTTTTCCTTTTAAACAGGAAAGTAATATTGATTTCATGCATTTGTCTCTACTGGATGCAATGTTTCATTGAGTTGGAAGGCATTTGCTTTTGCTTGTATTTGTGCACATGTGCATAGGCACGTTCCTAGCCATAAGGCAAGGGTATTTGTTATTCTCCAGTGTAAATGTCTCATGGACCTATAATTGTACTGACATTCAAGAGTTGAACTGAACAGTACCTGGTTTGATTTTTCTAAGTAAATAAAATCTGGGTTCTACTTAATCCTCTGGGAAGTGACATCTCCTTAATTTTGTTGTAATTCTAGGCTCAGTTGGAGCTAGCCCTAAGGAACAAGTACAGGGTCTGAAGTCAGGTTCAAAGTCTCCTTGAGTTCATGTCCTGGTACACTGTATGTTTAAATGATGTATCTTATTCTGTTATCCTTGGATTGGTTCTGATGGATGCTCATTATCAACAGATTTTCTTTATTTTTGCCCTTAGGTATATTCGAATAGTTGGGACACACAACACAGTGAACAAGATTTTTCACATTGTGGCTTTTGAATGTATGTTTACGAACAAAACCTTCACTCTTGAGAAAGGGCTGATAGGTAAGTATTACAATTACATTTTTTGTATATATACTTAGATACTTTATATTCAAATATTTTGTCATTCCATTAAATCATCTTAATCAGCTCTGACTGAAGAGTCTGGTTGATTTGAATTTCTTATAATTGAGTAACATAGGGGATGATTTACATTATTAGAAGTAGCCAAAATAGTAATTCCAATAAACTTAAAAGAAATAATATACATATTGTACCAGTAGTTAAGAATTGAAAACATTTTAGTGATTCATTTAGATTTGCTATGTAGGGAATCCTTATGATAGTCAAGTACAGCCTTTCATATCAAAGGCTATTCTATATTTAATGGTGGGTGAGATTAGGGAAGGAATCTGCATAATATTGATTGGATGTTCATACTTTCCAAGGCTATGCAGGTATTTTGGCCTTTGATTTGATATGAATGGTGTGCTCAGCTGTGATAATATCTTCTTTTAGTGGATATATCAGTCCATATTTGCCCTGTTTAGCCAAGTTCACCTCAAGAAAGTGCCCAGATATAATTTAAATAAGAAGAGAGTGACTAAATTGTTAATTGCAAAAGTCAGGTTATTTGGGTGGGAAATACTGCCTGAGCTTTTCAGAGGGAATTTTAAATTTTGGTTTAGTTATTTGGTTGTTTTCTGTCGTGTTTTGCTTTTGTTTTACATAATGTTTGCTCTAGTTATTGTGTACAGTCCTTCCCATGTATTGATATTCAAGATATCATGAATGGCTTTTCCCATCCAGACTGGTTAGTCATCTTCTCTTTTTCCCATGCCTGTGGTTTTTGCTTACCTCCTGTGAAGATCATAGTTAGACTAAATAGATCATTGAATCTGTGCCTTAACTGCAACTTCCTTTGAGAAGGGACACCCCTGCCTTGCTGTAGCTAAAATAGAATTCTTTGCCTTTACAAGGTATTCAGTCTCCTCTCCTTCTTAATGTCTGCCATGTTGAGACATGTGTCCATATTGACACGTCCTAAAAATATGGTAATGACTAGAATGAGAAAAATTTGTGTAACTTGCAAATGTTTACTAATTCTTTGAATGGTCATCACCTAAATTTCCCTAACACCTGCTGTGTGCAAAACATAATCCTTTACTTATGGAAATTTGGGAAAGTAATATTAACGAAGTAGCAGGAGTGGACATTTTTCCAATGTATAGAGTGCTTTTAGAGCCTCGTTAAAATAATTACTTTGGTTTTAACTTTGTTATGGATGTAATTTTTAATATTAAATATAAATATTAATAACTTTAGTGACTTTTAAGCAGTTTGCAAGTTAACAAGTTTGGAGTGTTACCTGATACTATCGTTTTTTAATATTGTAAGCTGTATAGAATTGTGCTTATGGCGGGTTGTGGGGAGGGTACTCTTTTTTACCTGCCTCCCAGGTTCTTCTATAGGCTGTAGGCTTCACTGTGTATGTGATTGGATAGTTAGGAGAGTCCTTACTGAGAAGGATCTTAGAAACGACTATCCTTCATAGTCACAAGATGTGTAGCATTTGGTTACTCATTTCAGCCCTGTGTACTGCATTTTTGAATATGCTGCATGGAACTTGTCATATACTTAAATCAGTCCCCCCTTCTTACTGGAGGAAGAACAAGTTTGTGGACTCTGTAATTGTTTAAGAAACAGGCATATCTGGCGTGAGAGGCCATTACAAGAATGAAACTCAGGATTGGTTGTAATGAGAAATGCTGCTGTTGGTCTACATGTTTTGTCCAAGCTGAAGTAGTCAGCATTATCAGAAGCCATAATAGTCTCAGGCATGTCAGGGCATGAAAGAAGATTGCAGAGATGCAAGAAGTGTTTTTGGTGTCTGGTCAAACACTTTTCTTCAAGGCCTTTTTTATGATGCTCTTAAGTTTGACTGCAAAGATCACTGCAGTCATCTCCCTCTCTGTCATCATCCCTCAACTGATTAGGAGCAGTGGTGCAGGTAGGCATATATGTGGGTACAATTGTTGGCAGATGGCCTGCAGTGAGATCTCCTCCTCAAGACCATGTTCACAGCTCAGAGCTGTCCTATGCTGAGCAGACAGAGAGGTGATATGAGTCCTGAGGGAGTGCAGGGGGATTTCATTTTCCTCTGTCTGACCTTGCAGCTCTGCTTAGCTTACAGGGGTGTTTGAAATAGTAATGGCCAGCTTTCTGTATTATCACAGGTATGTTTTAGCAGCACACAGGCCACAGCCAGCACACTCTACAGGAACCTCCCAGAAAGGAGTGGTCCTCTAGTGGGGGCACAGGTATGTCAGTACCACCCAGAGTTAATTTAAAATTTAGATGCCTACTTTTTATTCTTTCCTGTATCCTGTAAAATATACACTCCCTGCTTGAGAACCACTGATGTATACTCCACATTTTCATGGGAAAAAAAAATAAAAAAAACTAAAATAGTGTCATTATGTATCAAAGCCTACTTTTATGTTTCTAGATTCAGAACTTTTTTCTTTCACAGTTCCTGGTCTTCCTTTCGTAGTCAAGCTCCTCTAATTATTCTTCTGTAGGCCTTAAAAATGACTGAAAATATTTGCATTTTTTAAAATTAGATTTTTATGTTATTATTTAAAATGAAGAGTGATGCCAGGAAATAACATATATAAAAATAACAGAATAATATTCTGTTGTAAAACATGGATGAACTTAGAGAAAATTACGTTAAGTGAAATAAGCCAGGCACAGAGAGAGAAATAACACATGTACTTACTTATATGTGGGAGCAAATAAATAAACAAAGAAAAAAAAGATACAACAATCACAATAATACATTGAACTTTTTTTTTTTTTCCTTTTTTTGTCTTTTTTACTGACCGGTAATGGGATCGCAACCCTTGGTGTTGCTCCCGCACCACGCTCAGCCAGTGAGCGGGAACCGGTCTCCACATAGGATCCGAACCCTTAGCGGGAGTGCCGCCATGCTCCCAAGCGGCACACTCTCCAGTGCGCCACCGGGCCGGCCCATACATTGAACTTTTTAAGAGAAGAAACAGAACTAAGGTTGCCAGAGTTGGGAAAGGGGGAGAGAAAGGGTGGAAAGGGAGGAATTGTAAAAGGCCACAAAAATCAATTACATTGTGTAATGTTGAGTATACTAATTATCCTGATTTGAACATCACATATTGCACACTGGTATTGATATTCAATGCCAAATATGTACAATCAACTATGTTCCAGTTTAAAATAAATAAATAAATAAATATTAAAAAAATAATAATAACCACAAAAGCTATAGGAGATTTTTGTTTTCTTTTCCTACTGAAGAGTTCTTCCCCATTTTTGATAGTAGCATGTCACTCCTTCACTTGCACAGATTCATGGGGATGCTCTGAAGTCCTCCAGGTTCATATATCTGTGGGAACAGGCCCCAGCTTCACCAGTATTGGGCACTTCTTCCACTTTTGCTGCTGCCGCTACAGCCCCTTCTCATTAGTTGACTGCTTCTGGATTTTTCTGGGATGTTTTCTCTCCTGGGAGAGTCATCCTGTGATGACTATCTCCTCTGTGTTAGGAGGCATTTGTAGGAAATCCTAACCTATCTTCCCAGTGCGTGGAAGGAGTAATTAGAATAGATGTGACTGCTATTTTAGAAATGTTCAACCTCCCAAAGAATGTGTCTGCTTTGTCTTAGCACTCCACTTTGTGATACGTGCATAGCATCTGCCAAGTCCTTCTATTTTGTCATAATGAATGCCAAATATTCCTTTTCATTTAATCTTGTGTTTAAATTCACTTCGTTGAATACCCTACTTGTTCTTCAAGTAGAGAGAATAGTACCTATCACCTGGCTTAAACAACTCTCAACTCATAGCCAACCTAGTTTTATCTGTATGTGACCTACTTCCTCCCCATCAGATTATTTTGAAGCTAATCCCAGACATTTGATCATTTCACCCATAAATATTTTATTATGTATCTCTAAAAGTAAGGCCTCCTTTTTGTAGCCATAATCACAATACCATTATAGCGCCCCCACATTGAACAGTAGTTCCTTAAGAGTATTAAATATCCGGTCAGTGTTCAAATTTCCCTAATGTTTTCAAAGTCTGGAGTGAGAGTATGTGTTTTTATAGATTGTTTAAATCAGAATTCAGATAAGGTCCATATTATGCCAATAGCTGGTAAGACTCTTAAGTCTCTTTAAATCTATAGGTTCCCTTCCATTTGTCTATCTATCTCTTTTTTTCTCTCTCTCTCATTACAATTTATTTGTTGAAGAAACTAGGTTTTTGTCCTATAGGGTTTCTCACAGCCTAGATTTTAGTCATTGATGTTTATACATTGCATTTCTTGTGACTTAGTAGTTACTTAGAAGCTTGATCAGATTCAGCTATTATTTTTTGGTGATAATGCTCTGTAGATAGTGTTATGTGTATCTATTAAGAAACACAGAAAATCTTTGGTTGTCTTTTAGATTTTCATCATTTGGCATTACAAAATGGTTACATTCTAATTCTGCTATGCCTTCATTTTGTAGCTAGAAAGAGAAAATTTCCCTCAACACTCATTTGGTAATCCTGAAATACAATTTTCCCAGGAAAAGAAGGATAAATGTTAGTTTCTTTCCCTTTATTTACCAGTTTTCAAAATAAAGAAGTGGGTTTCTAGCGTCCTCCGTAGATGGCCAATGAGGTTTGTTGGTAGGTTTTATTAAGCGGAGTTAGGTACATATCATCTTGAATTTATGGGATTGAACACATTTGATATCTGTTAATCACTTGCACTTAATATTATTAATATTCAAGTTGTCCTATCTTTAACCTCTTGTAATTGGTTCTGGAGTCTTTTTGACATGATTTCAGTTGTCCTTACCAGTTCTTTGTTTTCTGGCATGACAAGATTTAGCAGGTCTGTCTTGTACGTTTCCTGCCATTGATCTGGAATCAGCCATTTTCAAGAAGCCTTGTGTTTAGTGGCAGGTTGTGTTTAGTAGAAAATAACATTTGGAAACCTCAGTGCAGTCACTGTAGATGATCCTTGCTACTGTGTTT